CTCCTATCTCAGGGACTGCCACCACCTGGGCATCCAGAACAACTTTGACCATCAGCGCTTCATCATGTTTGCCAGGGTGTGTGATGTGAATGGGAGTAAGCACATTTGCTCTAGAGACAAGGTGTTGATCCCTGCTTTTTTAAAAATCATCTTTAAGTAGAAATTCTTTTACCTGACTAGCAAAAACTAAACCATGTTGTCAACAGGAAATAGAAAATCTGTATGACATATTCCACACAAGGCACTCTATCCACAGAAGAGCCTGCCAGCACAAGATAAAAATGGCTGTAGAAATTATGTGAGTACCTACAGTTCTATTTCTAATATTATTTAATTTGTCTGCAGTGTGCCCCTAAAGTCATATGTTGTGTCTCTATATCCAGGATCAAAGATGCCCTCCTACTAGCAGATAAGGATCCATACATCCAAATTGAAATTTCAAATGGAAATGGAACTTCAGAGAAGGTTCCTCTCTCCAAAGCCAAAGATAAAATGGAGGCATACATAAAGCTGACAGGTAGTGACTTCAATCTGTGTTGTGTATAAATTATAAATTATTTCTCTGTCTCTCTCCCAGTATATTTACTAATGTCTGTCATAATAATACAGTTGTTGTTTTTTGTGATACAAATTTGTGTAAATAAGTGTAAGACACTTCTGATCAATTTGTGAAGCTGAACTGTATTGTTTGAACTGTCTTAACTTCCAATTTATTTCTGTGTTTACTCTGTAGATCAGGTCATTGAAAGAATACTCAACTCTTCTTCAGATTCTCTGAAGGAGGCAAGGGAGATTCTACACAGGGTCATGACTCGGGATCTGTACCGCTGTGTGGGTCAAGCCACGGTATGCAGCTATGTTTTTATGTATGTGCCTGTATTACAAGTCAAGTATTCACCCTGAATGGGATGCATGGATGGAGGGAAAAAGAGAAACCTGAGCTTTAACAAATCCCCACCCTGGGAAAATTTTTCAAAAGATCAGATTTTGGTGATACAAAGTACATTTACATTTGGAGAAAAGGCCAAAAGACACAGGAAAGGCTGTGTTTACAAAAAAAGTTGTGTACACGTGGACATAAACCGTCATCAGAGGCTGACACAGCAGCTCTTACTCTCACACATGCCTAGGCTTGTTGTAGTCAATGGGGTGATCGTGGCTCAAGAGTTGGGAGTTCGCCTTGTAATCGGAAGGTTGCCGGTTCGAGCCCCGGCTTGGACAGTCTCGGTCGTTGTGTCCTTGGGCAAGACACTTCACCCGTTGCCTACTGGTGGTGGTCAGAGGGCCCGGTGGCGCCAGTGTCCGG